AAAAGAGAGAGAAATTTTCAAATTTTTTACTAGAGGAAAGCACATTTGCACCTATTTCAAATATTCAGAATTACTTGACATGTTCTTGTGATCTGAAGAACAACAATCTAAATATAGGGCAGATGGTTTCATTATCGAGCTACTCAAGTGATCGGGCGAGCAACAGCAGTGATGTAGCCGTGGAAGGTTGGCCAGTTTACAAGAATTTCAATCGTTTTAACCTTCTGAGGACCGTCGTCACGCACACCTCTCAATAAGATTCGGCATCCTAACTGTGACTATTATTTATCCAGCTGTAACTCCACATTAGGTTGGCAAAAAACCCGAACAACTATCGATACGGCAAAATCTTCTTCTTCAGAGCCTGAATGACTGAGTGCGAAATTGATCTAAACCCGAGTTTCATCTTTCGGGCTAAAGACGATTCCGTCGGAACGTTAGCCGTTCGAAATCATTGCCGATCTAGGCTGGAGTTACAATTGAATAAATCACCTCAGAATGCACAAATTCTGAGGGACACTTCAGAATTTGTGCAGCAAGCCAAGCACAACAAGTCCTGGCTGAGCACTAGCTCTCTGAGCCATTTCAGGTCTTTGACAGCGACGATTCGGTCAAAACAAGAAACATCTTCAATAAAAAAATTTGTGAGGCATTAGAAAAACACATTCATATCAATATGGTTCCAAAAAAGCTGCACTTGAAAGCGATCAAATCAATAAAAAAATTTGTGAGGCATTAGAAAAACACATTCGTATCAACATGGTTCCAAAAAAGCTGCACTTGAAAGCGATCAAAGAAGAAATCATTTCGTTATTTTTTTTATATTCAGTACCTGTTCGCCTGCATTAGCGGCTCCGTCTCCACGGTTCTCCTGCAGCTCTTGTTCCACCACACCGTTCGGATTAGCGTCTGCTTGCTCTTAAAATAAGAACTGGAGAAAACGCACACAGAAACAAGGAAGTTGCTTCTAATGCATTTACTAGAGAAACATGCCTATATTCAAAAAATCGTGTGGTCCACCATGAATGATTTGCTCTCGTAGCCAAACGAGAGAGATGAACGTGCATATGAATATTATTAGTAAAAAGCAACCCTGAATTGGTCAAAGACACTTTGATACTGAAGAAATTGAGTCGAAAAAAGTATCACCTTGAAAACATCGGGGAAGATGTGTTCAGTCCGGAATATACTAAGAGGGAGAACGAGAATCTCCTGCATTGAGAGATAGAACACAGCTGCGGCGTATTTTCTTGCCGCCAGGGCAAGCGCCGAACAGGACCGTAGCACGAGACCAGACCGATTGTGTAAACCAGCGCACCGCTTCGCCACATCATTGCTTGCATATTACCACAACGCCTGAGAAGAAGCCTTTCTAGAAGCAGCATGGTTATGTAAACTGAAAAAAAATACCTTTGAGTATTTCCACGAGAGGTAATGCTTTAGGCATATCATGCCGATAGATGGGTTGAAATGAATACTTGTAGTTGCACAATTCACAGACTTCTTTTTTACTGAAACAAGTGGAGTAATCAAGACAGTGAGTTTTTCAAGATACATCCATGATGCTCATCAACGAAAATTGTGAAATTCACATCTACGATGGGTATAGCTCACCTGTATTTCAACCATTCCGTGAGGCACTCCTGATGAACGTACTTTATACTTCCGGTACAAAGACATGGGTAGTACAGATGACCATCTTCACCCCGACACACACGACACATATCTGCAGACAATGATCCTTCAATGACAGTTACTCTCGAAATAGCCAAGAAATATGGCGCAAGGAGGCTTTGACCGCCCTTCTGTGCCCAGGGTACGATATCATTGTGATAATCACAACGAGGGGGGAGGCCGTATTTGGTTTGCGAAAAATTTTTTTGACAGCTGATGTTTCTCGTTCACCGGAGCGCTTATAACGGGAGGGGGAGGTCGTCTGTTGGCGAGGGAGACTGTCAACCAGATGACCAGCTACTATCAAAAAGTACCGTGAAATGTAATAATTAGATCCTGACGACCCCTCCCCACGACGACGGCAGAATTCTTTGCTGCAAAAACTGGAAATTTTCCGCGAAAAAATGGAAAAAGTGGTAGGAGTTGGGAAAGTCAAGGAAAGTGCTAAGTAGCATGGGGAGGGGAGGGCTCGTTTTTTTAGGAAATGACCACAACGCGATGGCCCTTTTTCCATGATAGAAGCGTAGGCGTAGAAAGCAGGCGACCAGTCGCTGAATGACAGTCTAGCAAATAAGGGCGCGTTCAGACTTCGCGATCGCGAGGCACCAGTTCGCGCGAACTGGTTCGCGTAATCGCGAAGTCTGAACGCGCTTCAAAGCTCCGTACATACTCTGTGTCAATGTTTCGAGCGTACGCGAGCGTTTCTAGTACGTTTCCAGCGACTGTTCGCGAAAAGTTCAAAACGCCGAGTACAACTTCAAAACGGTGCCGTATGTTAACGCGTTTGAGGCGGCGCGTGCTCCCGGATGAACTTGCGTCTTTCCGCTTGCTTTTTCAAGCTCTTTTTTTCCCTTTCTTGCAAACAATCGGATACAAATAGTAAGCAAACAATATAGAAGTGATGTTAACACGTTCGCTTACTAATCATACATCATCATATATTTCAAGCGGCCATTTTAATCCACCATCCTTGTCTGGTTAACCGAAAAGCCGAGAAGTAGTCAGTGGTATAGCGTGAAAGGGCGGTGGTGTCAGTACGACTCCACTTCCCAATTTTCTTTAGTTCGATTTCTCTCCAAAAAGTTCTTCATCTTGCACGATCCCTCTTTCGCACATTTCCATTCACCTTGCCGAGTAGTTCTAATTCCGTACCGATTTTCCCCACCAACCAGGTATGACACATAAGAAATTTCCCTGAACACACTATCTTGAAGCAAGCTCTGTAATTCCCAACAAAAGAAACAGAGGGTAAGTAATATATGTGGTGCCCTTTCAATACCCTTTCAGCTCTTTATTGCGTTCTCAGGGATCGGCACTCGCACAGCTGACGAGCTCTTATTGACAAAAACCTGTAGAAGGAAAAAAATGTTCAGGAAAATGAGAAATGAAAACGACATGGTGAGTTCGAGGCGAAATTGTGCCCTCTGCAAGATCGCTGAACCATAAACGGGAGGACTGGCTATGTGTTGCCGCCGCGAACGCGCTGCTCGACAAACGGGAGTTTTTGGCGAAACGGCGTCGCCGCGAACGTGTTAAATCTATGCCTACACTTTCCTGAACGCTGGCACATGCTTGAAATACAGACTAAAAGTATGATCACAGCCTCGGACAGCATCTTTATCAAGCCAAAACCCTGGTTCAGTGGTCACAGATGCTCTGCCGAGTGGCTCCCCCTGACTAGGTTAGTGTTCAAAAAACTGTATCTCACGGTGATCATCGGACTCTTCCACAGACTGTGTTGTCTTTGACATCGAACTTGATGGTTCTACATCCGTCGAAGATTTTGCAGAAGATTCAGCTAGATCTTCACTACTCAGTGGCTCCATCGTAATGACTCAGCACATCAAAGTCTAAGGCTGAAAAATTAAATATTCTAATATAGAACTGAAAAGGTTTTCAATAAGCACGTAAACCGTCCTATACTAAGAGAAAGAGCTTCATAGGCTCAAACAACACATGGAGTCCCACCACTCTCCCCA